GGTGAGAACTGGCCTCTACSAAAAACATATGAGCTCCTAGAGAAGTATTTTCTAATCCCCCAAACATAGCTTGAAGAAGCAGCGTTGCTAACAACAGYGGTGGCTGTGCATTGAAGGGTAGGAGAGGCAACACGTTGCTTCACCAAACAGCAGCTGAAGCTCTGAGAAGCTGCTCTGCTCTAGACATGGCTTTGATTGTTAATGAGGATGCTGGGGGAGAGCTTCTTGTAGAGGAGATTGGGAAATGACTATTTACAGCCTTCTAACCTTACACTGAAATATATATATAAAAAAAGGTAGATTTTGTATTTTAGAAGATCAAGCTCTGAAAAACTGAGGAGTGGAGGCATTTGTACACTCCTAGCTTAACAGAATGCAAGTCTTTAGAGCATAGTTTTTGGTTTTGTTTTACAACAAGAATAAGTAAAGAATGTAAATGCAAAGTGGCATCTGGTATGATGTGGTTTTATGCCCAGTAAATCAAGTTTGAGGTATTATTTTTGACGTAGTAATGGAGAAATAATGTAATCAGTCTGGATTTCAGGAGCATATTTGCAGTAATGCTGAATAGCAAATTTTTAATTTCGGTGCAGGACTAATGGTTTGTGCATACCTTTACAGAGAAAACATAAAGGTGAATACAGAGTAGTACACAAAATCTAACAACGGGTTSTACTGGAGGAGAAAGTGTCAAACTGAAGCATTTCAAATTCCCCAAGAAGCTTTTCTGGTTATTTTTAGTAGTGATCTTGGCATAACAAGTACAAATGTGCCAATTAATTTGCTTATAACTCGGATTCAAAGATGACATCCATTTGGAGGAGCAGTAGAATATTAAATAGAGAAGAATGGGTGGTAGTGAGGGATGTAGTGATGGAGAGAGGACAAAAGGGTGAGAATACAGCAAAGCTGGAGGCTCAGCTCTTGGTTTCAAGAGTCCAGCCCAGCTCTGTGCAAAGGCTGCTCACTTATCCTAAGGAGTTCTTGGTTACTGTGAAGCAGAAGTGCAGAAGTGTCCATGGCATTTGAGCAGTCCCTGCCGAGGGTTTACAGCCTAGTTGTAGTTATGCCTGTGCAAAAGATCCTAAAGGACTGAATCTAGGATACTCTAAGCTGCCCTGGTCACCTCTGAGGAGAAAGATGGGTGAAACTGGAGTAGTCGCAAGGAAAAACTGCCAGGAGAATCACGAGCGAAGAGCCAGTCTTGAAAGAAACACCAAGAGTCGGCTTTTTGTCATTTCTGCATTTCTGTCTCTAAGTATACACATCAAATACCAGAGAGCAAAAAGGAGGATGCGAACTAAAAGGCAATAATCAGGTAATAATCTAGCTATGATAAATTTTGAAGAGAAATTATGGTGTGTTTTCAATTGTAATAGGTGTGTGGCCCTGGAAGTGGCCGGCAGGAGCTGTGGAGGCAAAATCTAAGTGAGGTTAAGGTTGCACAGTGTTTAGGAAAGACAGAGAGCCCGTGGCACTCTTGGAAGGGACTGAGCGTGTTTGCACCTGCGAAATGTGTGCTGTGACAAAGGGTCTCATTGCTCTTGTCAACACCACCATTTGGGAAAAACATATGGCCCCAGCTGCAAAATAATACATGCATTGAAATTGATAGCAGGGTTTAGTTGACCAAAATGCCTCTCTGGGAGCAGGAGAGACAGGGAATGTTGTTTGTTAGCAGCAGCAGGGGTGGTTTGCAAGCTGCAAAGCAGTGCCTGGTGCTGGCAGCCATTTCACTTCCCTGCCTTCACTCTGTCTGCAGCAATAATTTACTGATTTTATTTACTGTGGAAGGGGAAAAGGAAATCTATCACTTGTCATGCAGGGAAAGACATCTTGGATTCATCAAGCGGAGTGAAAGCAAGATGGTTGATCAAGTTGACTAAGTCTCTACCAAGATGGGTATTCAAGCAAACCATGCTTTGCTTGAAGCACGTTTCATTCCTTGTCAYTTAAAAAAGGGTACAAGGAAGTGTCCTATACGACCAATCTAAAAGCAATATCTACAGGATCAGACCCAAACACTTATTTCCTCCACTCTCTGTGTCCCTCCCCACTACTACAGCTCGGCAAATGCTGACGCTTATGTCTTTATTTCTTGATTTTCCTGCATTGCAGGTTATGCTCTTCTTGCATTTAGGTACATGCAGGAGAGTAATATCTGTGGTATTTGGATATTATAAACAACTGCAGGAAGCGCAGCGTGTTGGGAGGTGGGAGCCATGAGGGCTGCGGAGCATGTGAGGGTGTTGGGAGGTGGGGGCCACGAGGGCTGTGAAACACGTGGGGGTGTTGGGAAGTGGGAGCCACGAGGGCTGCGGAGCATGTGGGGTGTTTGTGGGTGGAGGCAGCTGGGCTCTGCTGACCTCCTGCCTCGCCCGCCGGTGGTGGCTGCTGGGGACRACTGTCACCTGCCATGCATCTGTGACGACTCCATCACAGCTCTGGTCTGTGTTCTGAGCATTATTCCTGGACACGTTCATTGGCTTTTCTAAGCATCCATTTCACTAGTACCAACTATGTCTGCATCAGATCTGGATGCTTTCTTTTGCCTTAAAAACAYCTGTGAAGTGTCAGGGACTGCAATCCCATGTGGAAAGTCCTCCTTCTGAGCAAAAGGCCTTCACGAAGCGTTCTTATGGTCTTTCTGTGTTTGCACAGATATTGGTGGCTTTAAGTAAAGCCTGAGGTCTGACAATAACATGCCTCTGTCATTGTGGGTACACCCGGACTCTCTGAGATAATATTGATTTTTTTCCTGGGTATTCAGTGAGCATTGATCGATGTAAATAAATGAATGACAGAACCGTYGATTAAGGTGCTCTAACAAACTTGTGACTGGTTAAGCATGCAGATGAGGAAAAACAGTATTTACCAACCTTCCGGTTCTTAGGGCTTTTCCTAGATTTATAGCCAATTACTTGTTTTCTTGGTTTTCAGCATTGCAAGAGATGCCACTATAGAAATATGAACCAAGAGAATTGTAGAGTATGGTCAGATTCATTTGCCTCTTAGTCTGCTATCTCAGCCTTTTCTATACCATTTCACCAGTGAGCCCTGGCTTCTGTAGCTGCACAGTGGAAATAACTAGAAAAGCTTAGAAACAGACTTATAAATGAGCAAGCAAACTGCAATGTCAGGCCTACGAAGACTGAGGACTTCCTACAGCTTATCCAGAGAAAAGGCTTCCTGAGGTACAAAATGCTGCAGGTATAGAATTACCCAAACTTAGTTGGATTGTGAGTATTGACTACTACAGAAGATAGCTGGTAATTGCTGTGAGCTTTACCCTTATCCATATTGTGAGAAAATAATAAAAAATATGCAAAATAAAAAAGAAGTGCATAAAGCACCCAATATGTCGTGGTTCTCCTTCTCAAATGCCTGTACAGGGGTTTAGTAGGTTATGACATAGTTAAAACAAGGTATTTTTAAGACAATCTAATATATTCTAATGAAGCCATATGTTTAGCAAACTATTCTGAAGTCTACAGCAAATTGATTAGAAAATTGCTCTCTGTTTTTTCTATTTTTTTTTCATGTGAAAGTAGGGAGCAGTAGTGAGGGAGCTGAGTGCARGAATCGCAGCAAGAGCAGCCTCCCATACAAAGCATTAATTTATCTCCAATCACAGCGTCCTTGCTGTTCCTCTTAGCCCAGGCGCCCTGGCCCGCGCTGGTGTTGTGGCCTCCCTAGGAGCGCCCTGCTGCCTGGCCATGGTGGCATGCGGGGAGCTCACCCTCAGTCGGGGTGAGCAGTGCGGCCTTGCCGCCGGCACCAACTSGGTGCGCAAGCGCATGCCAGGCCTCGGGCCGCCATGGAGCCGCGGCCRAGCTCCGTTCCTCGCACACCTCCTGCCTCGCTGACAGCAGGGAATTGCTTGGACATGGAGCTCTGGGTAGAGCCACCAGCAACCGCACCTAGCCCTAGGAGAGCAGTTAGTGTTCTCAGGTCAGGACGTCAGCCAGGAGAAATGGCCTCTTCTGAGCTAAGTCATTAAGGATCTAAAATAAAGCAGCTCCATTTGACACAAGGGCTGTTAAATGGACATTCGATGCGCGGGCGACCCACGGCGTGGCAGGACTTGCCTCCCACCCCATGCGTCCCTGCGCTCCGGTAGCCGCAGGGAGCTGCCCCTGAGCCCGCGCACCCCGAGGGCAGAGCTTGTCATTACAGCTTATGTAAGCGCTTGTGCTTTTCTGACACTGTAGAACGTAGCRGAAGAACTGAGGTGGGTTCTCAATATTGCAGTTCTTGAACCCTGCCTGATTTATTTGGTGATCAAATACATAACTTACAAAATTATCAATAAAATATTTATATATATACACTTCTTATCCACATTTTTGGTTACTCCACTAACTCCTTATCTCACGCTTTTAAAATATCTTCCAGGGACGCAACAGAACAACTGGGCCTCACCACAGTTCCTGTCATCACCTCTCAGGGAGTTGTCAGGCTCTTTGCGGGGCCTGTTACACCGGACCGCGCCAGGCTAGACCCGGGCACAGACACGCGCTGACAAGCATCGGTCTGCGGGAAGGCCGTTGTCTCCTGAGGGTGTAGCGCCCGTCGGCGGTGCGCCCGGCAGGAACGGGACCGCTCTGCTGCTGCATTCCCCTTTCTCCCTGCAGGGCCACAGGTGGAGATGTTCAGCCTCTCTGCTTTCCTTCCCTGTCTCTCTCCTTTGCCATCTCTTTTATGATTTTTTCTCTGTTTTTGGGGCATAGCGTTCATCCTATCCCTCTCAGCAAAGGGCTCAGTTTCCTACACTCTGCTGTCCTGATCCCCACAGGTCTGTCCCAGGGAAAACAGCCTGGGATACTCATCCTGAGCAGCTGCTGTATGTTAGCTGCTTGAAATTTGCAGCTTTTTATTGCACCTGTGCATGCAGGAACTTGGCCTTCCTCTGGGTAATCAGAAATTTAGATTAATTATGCTAATCAGCCCCTCCAGCCTGATAAAATTAGCTAAAGCATGCACTGTCTGAAACCTGTGCAGGATCTTTCCYGTCTTATGAGTTTGACTTCATGATCCAGCCCAATAATTGTGGAGAGTTCCCTCCCTTTGCATTTGTGACCCCCAGCAGCACTTTTCACTCATCTTAAAGCTTTCCCTGCAACCCCAAAGGGTGGTGGGGACAGAATGGCCCCTTGCCAGGGCTGCTGTCCTTGCTAATTGTTGGGTTTTGCTCTTTGCTGTAATCCTGCAATGTGGAAGATGTGCTGATATCCAGCTACAGAACAGGTAGGGCTCAACACAGAAAGGCCTGCAGTGGATCGGGCTGGTGGGATGCAGGATCTACTTGTAGCATTGTATATGTTGCTTTGTATGCTTTGCATATGGAATTGTAGTAGAAAGAACATGGAGAGGGTCAATATAGGATATAATGAAAACAAGCCCTGGTCTTGGTCTGACGCAGTAGGAGACTGCAACAAAAATCGGTGTTTTTGAAAACAGCTGAAATATTTGTATTTAATTTAATGAGTTCTCTTAGTGGCTGAAAAAAAAAGAAAGAAAGAGATGTTCTACCCTCTTTAGTTCACATCAGATAAAATTGAAGAACAACAAGAAGAGCCAACAGGTGAGACGTGCAGTCTGTGCTTTGCAATTTAGGTTTGAAACACTAGGATGAATACAATGTGATAGTGACATTATTTTCATCCTCACTGCAGAAAAGGCACTGTAATAAACTCTATGATAAAGAAAGAAATAAAAGAGACAAGATAACATTTTGCTTTTACCAAGAATGAAGAAAAGAAGATAAAGACTTGATATGAAGCAGGAGTCAGGGGCGCAGAGCTCCAGAAATGCTCTGTTCTGGCTCTTTGGTCAGTGGGAGTAGCTGCGGCTTTCGGCTGTGCTAGGATTTCATCTGGAGTGAAGTAGTTTATTATGGGTATCAATTGCTTGTGTAGGCTCCCCAGTGCTGCCAAACTTGGGCTTTGCATTCCAAAAATGTCTGAGAAGGGGTTTAGGACCACGGTGGGTTAAACTGCTCAGCTCTTGGCAGACAGGTGTTTGGGGTAGGCGCCTTCCGCTGCTCCCATGGGCGCCCACGGGGCCTCCTCTGTCCCCGGCCCAGCTGCCTGCAGGTCCCCACGACACARGGCAGCTCTGCTGCTGGGACTGGGAAAGTCGGCTTCCTGATTCCATGCTTTAAAAAAGGTAACAAAAAACCCCCTCAAATCCCTCATTGAATTTACCCCACTGAGTTTAGAATGCATTTATTCRCTTTTAATAATAATCAATTGTGCTAAGTAAGGGCTTTTTTAATTTTATTGGTAGTTTTGTAGAGCAAATTATTTGCATAAGAATATAAATTGCTATATGAATATTTATATTTTAGTTATTGACATAATTATAAGCATTATGCAGATTATTGAAATGAATTAAAATGTCAAAGTATCTGGAAGAAATAGCATATCAAATCCAAGCGTTCAGGAGGTTGCAAGGTAATTAGTAGAGCTGGATGTCAGGCACTCCTCCATAAATAAATTTTTCTGCATTACATGCTGGCATCTCTCAGCTCAAAGGAGAAATCATATATCTGATCTTTTTCATTATATCAAGGAAACTGTGTTAACCAAGGATGTCAGATTTTTTGATAAGTTTATCTGCAAGTTATAGTCTTCTCTTGGCCACAAGTATAAATACTGCTAACATCTCTTATGGAAGATGGGCAGGTATGCAAAATCTGCATTGGAAGTAAGATACCTGAAAGAGTAGAATAGATCAGAAAGGACYCATTTGCTCAGCATTTGAATAAGGTGAGCTTGTATTTTTATATATCAGGATTATAAAATATTAATGTTGTATATTTCTATTTTGGTGAAGAAATGCAACAGAGAAGAACTTCAGTTTTGTTTTCTCTGGCTGCTTTTGAAAAAGAGTTTCTGCCTCTCAGGCCTCATCTCAGCCTGCATGCCAGCTCCAGGGCAGGAGTCATGGCTTTTGGGGTAAGGCCAAACCTAAAACTTCTCGAGACCCTCGGCACCTTGCTAACTACCATAAACCTTCTCAGGGTCTCTTCTGCCTGGTGCCCCTGCATCACGGAGTGCTGCGGCGCTTGTTTACGTGGATCTACAGGAGACCACGGAGACATCTCGAGTAGCGCTCATTTTTGCAGGCACGGCTTTCTGTACGTGAGCCGCATAAGAGTGTGTGAGTTGTACGAAGCGCCATGGGAAAGGAGGGTTTCAAGGAGGAGTTTGAAGGAGTATCATGAGTGCAGGTGTCTGTGAAGAGGTTTTTGTAAGTGTGAAGACAGCTCTAGAGAAAGCGAAAGGCGCTCTCTCGAAAATGCAGTCAGCAAGATTTAGAGGTGAGTGCCATCGTTGCTTGGTGTGTCAATACTGAGTGATCCTGGTAAGAGCTGTGAAGGACCTTAAAAAGCACAGGAAGCAAGAAAGAAACTGGAGTGAAGGATGGCAAAAGCTTCTCTGCTGTCCATCATTTTAGTTCCTTTGCCACGGGTCAGCGTTGATGCTCCAAGCACATCTTCAGCACGTCCTTCATTATTTTCCCCTTTGCCATGTCAGTATTTTGCTCTTTCTCTGTGCTAAATACCGCAGTTGTGAAAGAAGAGACTGACTTCCCAGGCAGCTGTAGATTTTAAGCTATACCCTTGTCATTGTGAGCACATCCCTGTAGGCAGCGGTCACATACACAGTTCTTTCTGCCTGGGAAAATCCTGCCCTTCCCTGCAGCTGTATTTATTTACTTCAGGAGACGCTGGTGCTTGGCTGGCTGGCTGTACCTGTACCAAGTCTGACTCAGCATATGGTCTGTTCTAACTCAGTACCTGTCTGCATCCTTCAATATACTGAAGATATCTACTGGGGAGAGAACAGAGCTGAATGGGACATCAGTATCCAGCCAGTCCCACATTTTTCAGCCATGCTTTGCCTGCCATGGGTGTCTCACACAAGTACTCTGCTCCCATGGAGACCCTTCAGCATCTGCTGTGGGCCCCTCTCTCCAAAGGGGAAGAAGGAGCTGTCTGAATGGTAAATCTCTTCTTCCCTCCCATCTCGTATGCTTGTCATGGTTTGCCTCCTTGCTTTCTCCAGCATGGCAGGCATGGGATCACATCCTTCTCAGGACTCATCTTCCTAGACTGAGGATGTGTCCATGCTAAAAGGAAAGGGCCTCTCTCATTGGCCAGGGCAATTACAGTTGCCTGCTTATCAGTTGCTGAGTTGGGCAGCAAAAGCTGAGTTGCTTTTGCAGTAACCTGAGTGGTTATAAGTAGGACAAGACTGAATACTCACAGCCAGAGAAGATACTGCAGTATTTTGAGACAGCAAATGATGAGATTCACAACAAGAATTTGGCAAGTGAATGTTTAAAATGATTAATATTTAATGTAAAGCTCAAAATAGGGAGTAGAAGTAGTAAAGGAGACCAATCAAATTCCTCTTTGCCATATCACTTAKTTAACTTTGAAATGCCTTAAAGGGGCCAACCTCTGGTTTAATTAAATCCTTTGCTTTCCCAAGTGTTGCTTAACAATTTTGAGTATCTCCTTAGATTTCTAGTGTTACAGAGCAGAGAGTTATGAGTCAGATTACTTTGTGTGTTGAGTTTTAAACATCAGCCATGAATCCCTGAAATCCTTTGTTGCTTAAGCAGAATACATTTGACTCTCTCCATTTAGGGTTTAGTCATCCTTTTCGTAAGTCTTTTGATGAATAAGGTCATGAAAATTAACATAATATTAAAAGAGCTGGTCTCAGTAATTATAATGTTTAACCATGGTTTCTCCTGAGATTAAACTCTTTCTTCATTTTATCTTCCAATCAAAAAACTTTAACAAATCTTATTTATAGCAGCCGAAGACTTGTAGCTGGGTATAGCTTAAGGCAACCACAATATTCTTGTGTAAATCCTCAGTAAATGAGGCATCAATTACATAGGATGTTTCTATGGTGAAGTAACTTAATGCTCTCTTTTTCACTCTTCATCTCACCTTTAAATATGTTGTGTACTTTTTTAGTAATGATTTTAAAAAATATTCCAGTCCTCCCTAATTCTAATAGGTATTTTGTTTGATACTCTCATTAAGTTTTCCATTAACAAATTTTACCTGTCATATATTCCCACCTACCCATTAACTGAGTCACCGTATGTTGACACGTATTGTGTGATGGGTTTTTATGTAAGAAGAACTGAAAGTTTTGTGCATAATAAATAGGAATTGAGATCAAATTTACAGGGCTTTTTTTTTCTGAAAAGATTTTAGCAGTTTGATGCGATGAGCAGGACAGACTGGAAGGGCTGAACAATGTACAGATTAAACATCCCYTGTTGAAATGGCCCCATCTTGTGATGCTGTTTTTACGAATTCTTGCAGAACAGGGCCTGCAGGTAGYCCTAGGCAGAAGGTATCCCAGATAAGCACAAGATAAAGAGGGTAGTTACTAAACTATTGCAGTGGAGCCCTGGAAGTCTTGAAGCCCTTGAGGTCTGTGGTTCCCTAGGCTCCCTGCAGCCRCAGGGCGCTTGGCAGAGCCTTGTGGGCTCTGCTCACATGGCCCTCACCACTGGCTCCACGAAGGGCACTCGGTGCAAAACATTTCTTTGATGCAAATATCTATATTAGCTCTTCACATCGGCTTGACAASTGAGAAACCTCTGGATACCTGAAGTCTTCCTGGTACACATAGCACTGTAGGAATCCCAGCTTTAAGGGTAGCCAAATCCTCACCTTGACTTGGGAGATATATTGAACATCTTTTGAGATAATAGAACACACAGAGAGAAAGTCAAAATGGAACATGCATTGAGTGTATTTAATGTAACAAACTTCAATACTGTCTTGAGGATCTAGCTAAAGCTTATGATAGCTGCCTGAGCTGCTCTAACTTCTCCTGTATCGTCTGTCTTGAACTTAGAGGTTTATTTCTCTTTATCCAGTTACCAGAAGTGGTTGTTGGGGTCACTAACGGAGTTGGTCTTGGAAATCGACCCTTTTTTAGCTTCAACTGAGAARTCCCATTTCTCCTTCTCTTTTTCCATTTATTTGTCCCCTATCTCCTGGAACTGAGAACTGGGATATCACTGAATTCAATGGAAAACCATAATTCCTTCAACTCATCGTTATTATGAATTTATGATTAGGATTTCCATTGAGTGCTCTAGGTAGAGCATTTATGACTCCAGACTGATTTTTTTTTATTATTTTTTTTCTGAAGAAGCCTTTATCAATTAAACTGTAGGATCTCCTAAAAGCTCTCTYTTCCTACTCAGTGTATAACAGCTCTTTCTCCATGAGCATCACCAAAAGATTAAGCGTAATTCCACAGAGAATGAGATCTGCCAGGGGGGCCATACTATTTTTAAGGGAACCCTTCTGGATTCATTCTGTCCTGYCCTTTAAAGTATTTTGTAGCACAGTTCAGGCCATACCAATCATATTCTATTTATAAAGTATATTTTAAGACAAGCTGAATAAATGTTTAGAGGAACCTTTGGGAGGAATTCTGCTAACCTGCTGATGTTTTGCCTCCAATACCTGCTCTAATCCTCCTCTTGGCTGTGCTGGGGAACTCTTCTCCTGGGCAGTGCAAATTGAGCCATGCTGCGAGCTGATTACCTTATGTGAGCCCTTCGGAAGCACCTGCAGCTAATCTTCATTGAGCTGATCAGTCAGAAGAGAGGGCACCTAACAAATTAATACCACCCATCTTAATGTTTGAAACAATTGGAAACGACCCTAATCGTATTTTAAAAAATTGGAGTGTGTCTAAAAATGGAGTAGTGTGCAGCTGCCTTCATTCATTCTGTAAAACTCTTGTGTTTTCTTAATTGACTCATCTTCTCGATGCACTTGCTTGTTTTTCCTTTCTGATCCTTCCGAGCATGAAGTTTCAAAAGCTAATATAAATCTGAAAAGATAATGTCAGCTGCCCCCCTTTATCAGATAGCGCCAGCTTTTAAGTCTGCTCTTTCAGATAACTTTATAAATTTCAAAAAGTTAATTTAAATATTTGTCTTTTTTTCATTTCATTCATCCCTGAGTTTTAGAGAGAGTGAGAATATTTTTACCTTTATATTGGATCTCCCCTCATCWCCCCCCCTCAAAAATGTCCTGAATCTGCTGTGCTGCTCAAGTGGTTTTAGAAATGATGCCACTTCAAACAGCCATCTCCAGGTATTCCTGGGTGCTGCTTGTGCTGCTTATTGCAGAAGAAAGGAAATATCCTGCACTCAGAACATTTGTTTATATCTGCTTGGTACCTTCTCCTTGATGGTGCCTTGCCGTTTAACTAACATCAAACAGGACACAACTGAGCATGCTGTTCAAAGGTAAGTTTGGGAGAAATTRATATATTTTTAGTACCGATGACCCAAATCCCCCCAAATCTGAAGGCCTCAGAGCCCTGGAAGTGTTAAATCTGCAGCCGTGCGTGGACATGAGCGTTGTACCGGCAGGACAGCACGTGTGCTTAGGAGAAGGAAGAAGGAGCGCGAGTGATCAGGGAAGGTCCCAAGGGGCTTGGCATGGTAATGACTGCCTGGAGATGGAGTTACCTGTGCATTCATGTGTACTTATAGGGGTGGATATAGGACCCGCTATACAGGTTACCTTGCAGGAATGATAAATGTTACTTACAAACTTACTTCCTAAAATGGGGGGAAGGGRGGAAGGTACTTCTGAGTGGTGCTAGTTCTTCCACACAGAATCTGGCTCCGGGACCACTGTGCTGATGTCCATGGACGGTGGAGCAGGAGCGCGGGGGCTCTGCGGCACCCCAGCAGTGCTCTGGAGCACCTGGCAGCTTKTGGAATTTGAACATGGAAGGAGAAGCAAAGGAGCAGAAACAAGATGTGATGTGTTTTACTCCCCAATGAAATCCAGAGAAGTGCTCTAAAGATTACCCACTAATAATCAAACTGGGCAAAGTGCATGAATATTTTAAATAGGAGCATTGCTATGAATAGCACTCTAACAAGACTGATGTGAGGTACCAAGCTATTGCTSGGCTCCAAGCTTTCATTAAAATGAAAGAATAAAAGAGCTACTCGCTCATCCCCGCAGGGATGTAGGATCGCTCCGTGTCAATCCATCATTAAGGAAGCTTGTCCGGGAAAGACCTGCGTACGCTAATTAACTGCGCTAATAGTCTGGATATTAAAAGGAGAGTGTTATGAGCCCCTGCTATGTATGCTGCATGTGCACGTGCTCACGTGGGCCACAAGCGACACTGGTCTGCAAAGCAGGTTGCAGTGCAGGGCAGTTGTGTGCGCTGGGTTGAACGGGCAGCTTTCCCCGAGCTTGGCGTGTGCTGTTCGTGACTTGCTGCACTGCCGCTGATCACCAGTGCTCTTGACAGCTTGTTGCACCCACAGGAGCACCACAAACTGGAGGACAACTGGAGCTAACAGAGTTCACCCAAGTGCGAGCACAGCCAAAAGCAGCAGAAAGGAGCCCAGAGTAGAGTCATTGGGAGGGAGCAAAGTGGGGCAGACCAGAGGAATAGGAAGCAAATCCTYCTCCTCCTCATTCACATAGGCTCTGCATCTTGCAGGCTGTTGTGCTGCTGTTTTAAGACTTGAAACTTGTTCTTTCTGACAGTGACAGATGAAGGAAACTGAACTTCACTGTCGACAGATCCATGTGACGCCCGTTGCTTCCTTCAGCAGTAACTTCATGTCCATGTCTGGCACTATAGATGGGTTGAATTTCTGTAAGTATTTTCTGTATAATATTAACATCATAGCTGTAAAAGGGCAGCTTAGGGTGACTTTTAGGGTCAGCGTTCAGGTGTGGTTAGGTGAAAAGGAACACATTTAGCCAATTAGCTGAAAAATGTAATGAAAATGTGCTGTGCCGTGCAGGATCCTGCCAGACGCTCCACTGCTGTCTCCTGAGATACATTCAGTTTTCATTTACATTCTGTGCTTTACTTTTAATATTCCCAGACTTTGCAACCCAAGGGTCATGCACAAAATACGTGGAAACCAGACTGAGTTCTTTTAGAGAGAGAGGTCAAAACTCAATCCTAAATGACCTCATATCTCAAAAGGAATCTATAAATGTGTACAGTTAGTAACCTGCTTTACAGGATGATTATATCCTGTCTGTCATTGAGTGGCGCTTTGCCTGCCTCGTTTTTGACAGCTGAAAAAGTTTACCGGCTGTGGATACAAAGGGAGAAATCTCCACCCAAAATTGCCGCTGAGTATATGGAGGAATATGGAGCTCCCTTTCATCTCTGTATGTGCTTTGGTCTTAAAATACATTTATCAGATCATGACTGAAATTACCTGTATTTAGTCTTTCACTAAAACTTTGCAGACCCAAAATGAAGATAGAAAAGACCATATTTGCAGTACACTACAAGTCAGAGTGAGCACGGAAGAGTGCCAGAGGCAGATCCCCATGCCCTAGGAAGGAAGATGTATTGGAATCTTCTAGCTGTGGGATTTCTGGGCATGAGCAGTTATTCAAAACATTTACAGTCTTTGTTCATGCTACCCTCACTAATATGTGCCACAAAACTCGACAAGCCTTGGCTCAAAGAAGGGAGGCAGCATGGGCTCTGGCCAGGCTCACCCTTGTTCCTTGCTGCAGCTCCCATTTCCCAGTGCTCCCAGACCCTTTGGACCCCAGCTGCTGCTCCCCAAAGCGCTGCAGTGTTTCTACAGGGGGGGTCGAGGCATTCCSAAAGATAGCCAAGGTGACTCCTTGTGATAAAAAACTCCATGATGTCTTATACTGGTTGTCTTTTACAATAAGTTTCCTGCTCATGTTGCAGCAGCTACCAGTCTGTTCCCCAAATGCTTCCTCAAAAAGGTTGGGCTGTGGTTTGGTGTTTCAGCTAAACTGGCTCCTARATCATCAGGTTATAGCTCCAAATTTGTGCTTTGCACCATGCATGGGTTTGCAGCATCAGAATAATCAAATAAAATGGACAGGGGTGACCCTTCTTCCATTTGTTGATGCTGGTCTCATGTTTTCAAAGGCAATATTTTATCATCTGGATAATGTATGTCAAACTCTTGTTGTTGCTGTTGTTTATTTAAAACCTTTGCAAGTTCATAGGGTACGTTTTAAAAAGCTAGATCCCAGTCACTGAAATGTCATTTACGCTGTAGCACAACAGAATAATAAAAGAAAAGGGAAGAGAAGGTGTACTGAGTGCTGTGAGGAATGGGATGGTGGTAAAGCTGAAATATAATTTTAGGATTTTAATGCACAATTATAAAAGGCAATATAATCAATCTTCAGCCTCGTGTTTTAAGTTTGGGATATGATCATATTGCCCAAAGGAAAATGAAATGGCTGAATCAAGCCTTGCACTGGACTTGAGCTTGCATACAGGCAAAAATCAGAGAAGACTCTGAATGGCACTATTCCCTTGAAATTAATTCTGAATGCATTTGCTCTTCTGGCTGAGTTGGGAAGCTTTTCCCAGTCTCTTTTGAGTATTAAAACTCCTTCTAGCAAAGTAGCTAGTACTCCCAACTGAAATATGGCAAAGTTGTTTCAGCCCAAATACGAGTTTGGGGAATGTTGCACTGTCCACGGAGACCAGCTTCAGTGTGCTAGAGACAGAAATATTTGAGGGGGAGGGGGAAGAAAGAAATCTTTTGCTTTTATCTTTGCCTTAACATTAGGTTTTAGCCTATGAAAGATGGCACCCCCAAACCGCCTTTGACTTCGCTGCCTCTTGTTGCAAAAATCCAGGAAACCCCAAGGGAATTTGTAACTATCCCAGTGGCACCAGCTGATGGCTGCCTATGGGAGCAATCACCTACCAAGCATCACTTGGAGTCTGATGAACCATTTATTATCGAGGACTCAATTGCTTGTGATAGAGCCTAGTGGCAAGACACAGACACATGTACCTGATTTTTACCTGTGCATAAATATAGGCCACTTGTGTTAGGGTYGGTGAATGCCCAGTTCAGTTTAGACTTTGGAAAATTGAAATACTGAACTCCTTTCCYATTCCCTTGCTGCTTTCGAGCATTTCTGCAGCTAGGTTAAAGTTAAGGAAGATGGAGAAAGAAAGCGTGTGTGCACACACGTGTCTTTGGGAGTCAGAGGATTGTCTGCAGTTGAAATGCAAGTGCCTGAAGTGTTGAATGAGTCAGTGAGGCAGCACAAACGGAAATGTTTTCAAAAAGGTGAGTTTTGTGACTATTCTGTGCTGTGTGGGAAATCCAAGCATTGTTTCTTCAATACTGAACTTATCTTCTCTATAATCAGGATAGTAAAATACACTATAGGCAGGAGTATCTAAACATTYTATGTCTAGCCATAATATATATAGATCAAATGCTGTTTGCCTCATTCACACAGCTTGTGCCATTGAAGCCAGAAGGGAGCATCTCTGTGAGGAGCGGAAGCAGGATAGGTTCTGCATGTGCTATTTTTGTGTTTCTTTTTCCTCCTTTTTGCTGTTTCCCTTGCAATGAACAGAGTGCACTGATGAAATCTTTAAGGGCACAGCACACGTTTCGTCAGTCTTCAGCCCCAAGAGTGGTCTAGCCCAGAGCTGGGAGAACTGGGTAAGGGCTTGGATTTGTGAAGGCAACTATTTTCTCTTGTGATACTATTTGTGATCAAGAAGYGACAGAAACAAATTTGTTGACGGTAATCACATCATCACGTCGGTCAGAGCTGCAAAAGTAATCACAGGGATATTTGGGATAAAGGGGAGAATGGAACTCATCATTCTTTTGAGGTGCATGAAAACAGGCGAGCTGCTTTGAATGGCAATGGAGAGCAGAGATTTAGTGAAATCAAATAGGATTCAACTTGGCAGTGGGGCAGGCCTGAGCCAGGGTTTGCTAATCTGGCAGGTACCAATGTCCTCCTTAACACACAAGCCTTTAAGTGTGATTATGAAGCTTTAAAACATCTCCAGCAAAGCATAGTTTGAATGCCACCCTGGGCAGGGAGGAAGCAGCTCATAAAAACTGCTGGGGATTTAAAGGGAGATGGTTTTGATTTACAAAGTGGGGCCTGATTCTGATCTTGCCTTTCCTTTCCCTGGCTGAGGAAAGATGAGGAGCWGCTCAGGTGAGAGGTGATGGGAAGCAGCCGCCAAGCTCCTTGTCCTTGCTGATTGTCACTTGTGAGGAGGGTTAGCCACCAGGTGTCCTCATGAGAAAGGGCTTTGTGGCCAGCGCCACACACCCCAGCTCTGTCCCTGTCCGCCTTTCTAGGCGTCCCCTGGCTTGGGACAACTGTTGTTGCTCTCTTGGCAGGTCTTCAGAGCTCCCCAAACATTTTAAAAGCCACTTGAGTGCGAGAGCCGCCCCCTTTCCTCGGACCATTCCTCCCCAAAGGTAACCCACTRTGGCACTGCTGTACTGATAGCTCAGTGAATTTGTTACATGAAACCATGAAGGAGAAGGATTTTATTTCTGGTTGGAGATGAGCTATGGGAACAGTGGAAAAATTCCCATTTTATAGAAAATGGACTTGCTCAATCATTCTTATGTCCTGTCACCCTGCAGTATTAAGACAGGGTAAGGAGCAAATCCCTATCTCAACTAAAATCAGTCATAGTAATTTGCACTAGCCTGAATAAGATCTGCCATGTCCTGGGGCTAAACCCATGTCACACCCGATCCCCAGCCACAATCTGAAGGGCCTGCAGCTGCGTAGGTGACCACAAGCCGTGCGTGCGTCTGGCAGCATCTGCGCTCAGATGCTTGGGCTGCAAGTCGCTTTCCCCAGTCTCTGCTGGTTCAGCTCATTTCTTGGGCATATCTGTCCTGTGAAGCAGGGCCTCACTTAGCCAGGGAGAGCAGGCAGAAGTGTCCTCTGACAGGAGCTCCACAATTAGTTGTGGAGCTCTACAATTTGTGGCAGGGTTGGGGTAGAAACAGGCCTGGTGACAGGGCATCATTGTAGGAGATCCCACACACGCACATCAGTGAGGCTTTAGTGTAGCCAGCAAAACAAGCTGAAAATTGTGTTAGAAAGATGAGCATCGTGGTAAAGTGGGAAAGGGAGGGTTAATGATAGATGCCCTGCAAAAACCTCTTGTCCCTTGGTGATGCAGAGGAATTCATGTCCCTCTTCTCTAGACATAGATTCCTCCTGATGGGGAACCCAGAGGCAGCAGGTGTGAAGCTGGGAGCCTTGCATTTCCTTCCCTCTTTTCTTCATAGCTCATTGTACTCCTTTCTGTGAGGGTTTGATCTCAGATTCTCATTTGTCTGCACTTCTCTCTACCCTTGATCAATGTTTGTCTTTAATCTCTGTGTGTCTGTCTTTCCTATTCTTCTGTCTGCAGCCCATGACTATTGTATTTCTTCATTTTTGGCAGCGCTATTCTTTGCCTTCCAATGACTCTTTCTCATCCACTCATTGTGTTCTCGCTGTCTGCAAACGCTGTGCTGAGGGTGAACAATGAAGGGTTTGATTTCAACCGAGGTGTCGGCGGAGCCTGAGGACAAGTGCCGAACGAGGCAAGGGGCTCAGTCCAGGACAGGTTGACGAGAGCACTTGGAGAACCATCGGGGACGCTGAGCCCCCTCTGCCGTGACTGGAGCACCAGCCTCGTGCTTCTAGGAAGGGGTTTTGAAGCAGGAAAGAAGGAATCAGTGTCTGCTTTCCCTCCACTTGCTTATCTGCAGATAAAACGAGTGACAGAGTATAATTGATTAGTTAATGAGCGTGAGCAGCCCTGAAGGCCACTTGCTGGAGCTGTGATGGATGCTTAGGGATCACCACATGCAGCAATACCACAGGCTTAGAGATGCCCATGGCCATCTGTGAAATCCTGAATCCCGAGCCCTGCTGCGTGCGCGGGGCCGCAATCGAGACCATTCCTTGGAGCTGTGGCTACTTTTTTCCCGGCTGCATGACACAGACAAGGGAGTTGGAAGGAAATACAAATAGCCATGAAGGGAAGACTTGCAGCTGATCCCCGTGGGAAGCTGTGCGGCGGTGTGTGCCGCAGCGGGGCCTGTCGCAGGCTTGTCCCCGATGATGCCCCCATTGGGCTGCGAGTGCTAGCCGAAGGGTCAGGTCTGGATTTAAATTAATTAAACTAAGGGAAATGACCTTGTTGTTTTCAAACACAAGCACTTTTTCTGTGGCCTGCCAGCAGCTGACATTTCTTTGAACCGTTTCTAAATTTCAAAGGAGGAAATATATTTAAAACATCAGAAAGTTTTAAAGTCTTTGTTTAGCTATTTTTGATGTGATACTTCTCAGGACGCATTAAATGAAAACATTTTCTGCCTGATCTTAATTGAGAAGACTCTTATCTCCTCCTGTAATTACTGATGAACAAGATTTCTACGTGGATTAAATTGCATATTCTCTCAAACTGGTGCAGGCTTATTTTCATGTCTTTCATAATGCACTTTTCTCTGAAGCTCAGCAATGTCCCCAACCCCATGGGCAGCTTTATTGCAGTGCCTGGAATATAATTACTTTTATTTCCACAGCCTATAACTACCTTAGATATTCAGAGAGGAGATATCAACATAATTACTGGAAGTGGAAACTATTGCCATGGTGATGGTGCGCGACACAGCAAAGCTCCTCGGGAAGGGAGCACAGCCCCAGGTATTATCTCCACCCAGGTGCCTCCAAGACGCTCGGACAACTTGGTTTTTCTCGCAGCGAAAGATGGACTTCGTCTAACTGCACCCGGGTGAGGGCAAAACACAAGGGTAGCTGCAAGCTGGAGCATGGAAGCAGCTCACCCGTGTGAAGCTAGGGAGGGCTTTCCAGGGAAGAGCTGGAGGGACAGAGCTTTGGCCCTGCTCCCAGGGATGGAGCCAGGTTCGGTGGCGGGAGCCGGGTGCCCGGCTCGCCGTGGCCGCCCCACGTTCCATGCCRCACTCCTGGGCTTTGCTTCTCCTTTTTCCTGAAGCTGGTATAAATCAATAATGTGCTTTGGCTTCCTCTGAAAATGACTTGCCCTGGCATTCCTCCAAGGAAYGAATTTCTGCATTGACTTTTGTTTTTAAACACTTCAGATACATTTGAAATACTTTATTTATGCTRCGAACGATTTTTAATTCATTGCATTTTCCAGGGCTGTGTTTTTTGCGAGGTATGACCTTTAAGTAATTGATTTTCATCCAGAAGACTACTAAGCAAAAATTATTTTTTGCTCCCAGGAATTGCAGGGGCAGGAAGGGCGAGTGGCCAAGTCTACAGGCCCTCCCCACGAGCCTCCTGGACTGTCCCTCTCCCAGCCCTACGAAGCCTTAGAAGCACATGCAGTGTTTTTAGAAATGCTGGTTGTGCTATCAAATAGGCCAGTTTAAGGGAAGGATCTCTGTGCATCAAAACATAGGACAGTTTTGACATTTGTGAACTGCTAACACCTCTGCACAAATGAGTGTGAATCACTGTCCATGTGAACCTCTTTGCTGGAGTTTGGACACGGGCAGACTACTGCTTTTAACGGCAGCTCTGCTTAGATGCATTAAGAACAGAGCTGAGAAATGAAAAGCAGTGTGTTTAKGCAAAGCAGGGACTTTTGAGTACGAGAATTCCCGTCAAAATGGAGCAAAGATGTCAGTAATGAGCAAAGACATTTTTTTACAGCGGGTGGAGTCTCAGTGAAATCCAAGCTGCAGCTCATGCCAGGGTGGAAGCCTTGCAGAACCGGCATGTGCTGGCGGCAGGATTCCTTCTGCATAACCACCGTCCAATGCACTACCTCTGCTTGGCATTTACAATCAGGAAAAGGAGGAAAATGCCCTAGAGAACCAGTTCAGCTTGTGTTAGGGGCTCAACATGGTCCTTGATCAGCAAGATCAGCTGAGTTTGTAGTTCTTGGCTCTTCTGTGCGTGCCACAAAAGTCACAGAAGAAGTTGATACCTGTGTACATATACGTGCAATACATATGTATCAGCATGATTGATACATACGATATCAGTCTCGTTGCCTTTGTTTACCTGTAGCTGCCAGGAAATCTCAGTAGGTAAAATAAGAAAGGCTTGAAAAAAACCCCACCTTATGCTTCTGCTAGAAAAAGAAAGCCATAAATTTGGGGAATGCTGAAACCAATAACATACACTGAAGGTCTCAAAGTTTGGCATCACTCAGTCTATGCAAAAGGCAGCATCAGGTTGCAACTCAAGTCGCATTGACAACTTGCTGGAGCAATATGTATTCTCACTGTAATAAGCAAGCAAGTTAGAAATGATGGAAATGATGCCATCAGCAAATTTCTTCTCATAGAGATTGATATTCTTGGTTTTGCTTCATCTTCTACTCAAGAGGCGACTAAAAGAGCCTGGTGAAAGCTATCCCAGGCAGCGCAAAGGCAGTTGCAGGTACAAAAAGCCCAGGGAGCTTTTCCAGCCCAAGTGGTAGTTTTGGAGCATTGGAAGCTCTTAGGGACAGGATTCAGGTTGTTTTGCCATCGAGACTGGCGCACATGCTAATACTACCAATGCTCTATGTGCTGCAGACGTAAAAAGCCACAGGGTTGCTTTTAGAATAATAGTGTATTCACAAATAGTCCTCAAATTGCTCTGAAATATCACAGTTAGCTGCATCTTCATTCTATTATCTCACTACTTTATGCTTTTGAGACCTTTTCCTTGCAGACTATAAAATCATTCCAAATGTAACATGATAAATTAATAGAACAAAACAAATTGGAGTCAGTAGGAGTGCACTTAGCACTAACAAGACTCATCTGAGTTTCACATTTTCTCTTGCAATTATAAAAAAATAAGGCTAGTGTCAGAATTCATCTYTAATTGCCACTATGCAACCCTCTGGATATTATTTTAAGGGCTGATAGAGAAGAGCAATCTCTGCAATTATTGATAAATATTGTTTCTTCTAAATGAGGGGAGAAATATGAGACATAAGCAGAGATGAAGCTTAAATTGCCTATGGCAGAAAGAATGAATATTTAGTTATTTACATTGCACTGCCAGGTGCTAGGGTGCATAGCATTAAATAGTTGCAGTAGGTGGGAATCATGCACAAGGTGTATTAAGAAGTGGAGAAGCTGAGGCAGTTCAGGAAGAGGCAAAAGGTCCCAAGCTTTGCCAGAAAGTATGACAGATTTCATTGTTTCTGTCTTGATGCGGAAGGGAAACTCCTGAAACATCCCTTTCTTTGCTGACAGTATTTCCCATTTTGCAGTGAGCCCCCATTTCCCAAGCCCAGGGGATGCAGCATCAGGCGCTGCCTCTTCCACGCTCCGTGCGCGGCCGTCCCGGCCAGCAAGTGCAACAGCTGCGTCGTGTGCCCAGYTGTTGCCTGGGCTGATTCCGTGCGAGCGAGCAGTGTTTTGCCAMACGTGGTTTACCCCCTGCTGAAGGCCAAGCTGGCCTGTGAAGTACCCCAGCCCGCGTGCAGAGACGGCCGCATCAGCAGTGCCCTTGCGGCCGTTGAGTGGCAGGATTAGGCCRAAAGAGTGAGAAAAAAGTCAAAATCTTTGTTTTTCATGACCCCAAATGAGAGGATAAATGATTGATTTTGATCTTGTGAGTGCTCGTGACCACTGGCCCTTGCGTCCCTGGGAGCACTTAGCTGGTTTCACTGGGCACGCAGGGCAGGGCTGTGTTTACTACTGGGGGAGTGTTTGGTGCTTCTGAGCAATCGTTGAAAAGCAGGAAAATATGCACTCAATACATCAACCTCTCACTGGGTATTCCTGTTCTGGCTTTTCAAATGTGTTGTATATGGATGTTGGTTTCAGAAATACTTGAGGAATACTGATCTGAATTTATCAATTATATTCAAAAAGGCTCAAAAAAGACGTTTGGAACTGCTGGATTATCTTCTGCTTTAAACTGTKTCTTAATTTCACTTGACAACGAGAATATTTCTGTTCAGTTTTGAGGTTTGTTTGGAGCTTTCCTCAGTAMCTTGAATTTTATGCTTGGCAAGCCCACATCCGAGCTTTCCTCTTGCTTTGCATTAGGCATTGACCACCAAAAAGGAATTCAAGTCTATTTCAGTCTTCTGCCAAATAGCACTCACTCAGTYTGATATTCACGATATAGAGTGCTTGGCTTAAAAAAAAAAAGGGAGCTTCATCTCAAACCTTAGGCTAAGTCAGGATACAGAAGGTGTCTCTTTCACTGGGGCCTGTTGGGAAAGGATTTCARTAATGGTTTTCCCCAAGGAGCGTCAGGATTGGGTAAGAGAAGCCCAGGGGCGAAGGCTGAAAATCAGCCTTGTTTGGTTAATTTTGGTGCTAGTAAATCAAAATCCAGAAGCAGAGGTGTCAGAGCAGGAGCAGAGACTTTCCTCTTCAAAGGCAACTTTGAGAAGTTCATGATTAAAGGATGACTCCCAGGCTTTTGTCGATAGATCCAAAATTAAATTTGTCATAACACTTTATGTAATGCTAATGATAAGCTATTTATTGTGTGAAAAAGTGTCACTTTATTGCTCATCTGCCTGCTTTGATCTCGTGCTTGCTGACGGGCGCGCGGGCTCGGTGCCAGCCGCAGCAGGGCCGGGCCGCAGCGGGTGCCTGTCCCAGCGGTGCCGCAGCCCAGGATCTGTTGCAGAGCAGCTCTGCTTCCCAGCGGGACCATCACAGCCCGCCTGGATGCCCCTGGTTCCACCACCCTGTAGTTACAGAGTTGGCTCTAGCCGGGTGTGAGCCACGAGACGATGGGAAGGAGGTGCTGGCGGGCACTGTGGGTCGGTAACACTCCAATTTCCTGATGGGAGAGTAGCCTGGCATCTCATTCATGTTCCTTTCATCAGAGTGGGGTTATGGGAACATATTTAAGGGAAATCTGAAGATAAATCATGATAGATAGTCCCTGAGCATCCCCGGCAGGCACACACCTACCCACTGCATTTCCACAGGCATCATGGAGTATCAGGCCCTAAATTAATTTCTCCCTTTTATTTATTATTAATTTTTTATTCTTTAAGGATTTCGAGAACAATGAATGAAATTTATTCCCTGCTAAAGACCAGGCATACATTATAGCTGAARCAACACCCCCGCACAAAGCCTGAGCTAACTTCGTGGAGGCATTTGTTAAGGCTAAGCATCTGCCCCGACCACCGCTGGTGCTTCCTCCTCCGTGGGATGTTCATTGGGAGTTTCGCCTGCTGGAGCCTTCCTCCCCGGTGTCTACCTCGCTGCTGCCTCGGCTCCACGCTAAAGCAAGTGCAAAGAAGCCATGAAAGGAAAAGAGCCCCAAAAAAGTTTCAGCTACCAAGCGGTATTGGATTCTTGCCGCCCCAGAGAAGGGAAAGCCAGCATCAGCAAGGAGCAGCTACGACACAGAAAAGTGGCAGTCCTGGATGGTGCTGGCTGTGAAGCACAGGGATGYGGTTAATACTGTGCTGTTCCCTGAACAACTAACTCAAACAGTGAGTCCTGCTGGAAAGCTAAAAATGGGAGATGCCCCTTTGCCTCCTACTGASGTGTGTGCTCTATTTGTGAAGCTGCCTGTGTGGTTTCATTTTCAGTTATTTTATTCACCTGTGCACCTGCTGTTGTCTTAACACACAGACTGCGACCCCAGCGGCCACTTTCTGCAGTTAGGGAAATACTGCAGCGCCCAGAGGCAGCTTGTGCGAGCCAGCCTGGCCCTTATTTCCCCTGCCTGCCTGACAGGAGTGTGCTGGAGCTCTGATTTATGACTTCTTAGTGGATTTGCAAGAAACTACACTTTACTGATAAGTWGTTTTTACAGGTATAAGACAAGTACAGGACAAGTACTGTCTTTTTGCTTACTGTAAAGAGAGTAGGTCTTAACAGCTAAATAGGACACAGTAAATTTGCTAAGTTGCTTTTCAAGTAGTTTCCACAGGCAGAGGTGGTGGCACTAAGGGCTTCTAACTCAGGGGTGACTATAACGTAATGGTGAGCAATCCTAGCAGATGTGCTCTTCCAAAGAGAGGAACACTCAGCTAGCAATACTTCTATAATCAAACAAGTCAGAGCCAAATACATTCCTTACTCACCCAGGAACTGTATTTTCCCTTAGGTTTATTCAGAATTTTGCCATTGACAGAAATAAATAACTTGAAACTTTCATCCTCCTAGGAAACAAATGTCTTCATGGATCTGGATCCGGAAATAGGCAGTTGTGTTTACCGAGTTTTAGCCATGTTATGTAATGCTTCTGATCAGAAATGGAGGAGTTCAAACGCRGTTTTCCAGCCTGAAGGTCTCTGATAACACTGAGTTTCCTCTTGTGTTTTGCTGCCTTTAGTTTCTACCTTTGTGGCACTCTTGTCAGTGACTTTAGCCAATCTATATGGATAACATAGCTGTTGTGATACATACATAAAACTTCTATAACGTATAAATAATTCAAGWTTTTTYTTTTTTACTGTAAACTGATATGCCAAAAAAATGGCAAATAGATCCATTAATATCTAGGGTTTTCTTTGCAAAAATATATCAAAACCAAGTATAATGGAAATGCAAGTTTAGTAGCCACACAGAGAAAATGTGAAGGTTTTTATAGATTGTATTGCAGAAGTTGCCTTTTATGATTTGCAATCACCTGGATTTTGGTTTGAGGAGAAGGGCTTGCAGGATCTTGGCACTTGGATCAAATCCGTGGTGCTCGTCCTCGCCAAAAAGGTTTCATCTGCTGCAAACCACCTGGAAGCAGCGCCACTGCCTTTGGCTACACCTGCATTCTTTATCTTCTCCAGCTACATTAATCCTTTTATGAAAAAAGAGCTTCCCAGTGCCTGAAGCTGACACCTTTGGTCTCCCATCGGCAGATTCAGGCTGCTGCATGGACTCACATGATGCCCGCTAGATACTGCTACAGAGCTGTCACCGCCGGAGAAGCTGATCCCTGTGGGACACGGCCACCCATGGGCATCCCTAGTCGTGGCACCTTGCCCGCTCCGTGGCCCTCACGCCTCCTGTGGGGTGGGCTTGACGTTGTGGGTTTCCATTGTGCAACGCAGATTTGTGTATTTTAGCATATGAGCTTTCTGATTTATTTATACTGTTGACGACAGTGTGCACTTGGACAGCATCTTCCTCTGCCTTTCCTTTTTTTCCTCTTTCTCTCCATGCCTGGAATTCTGTCGAACTTTTAAATGGTGAATAATGAATTAAGCAAGATGKTTGGGGCTGCACCAAATGTTGCAGGATCTGTAGGGACTCGCATGTCCCAAACGGAGGCCGAGCTTGGAAACTTGCTTGCCGAGCATATAGAGCTGGACTACAGCTCTATACAGAGCTGGACTACAGAGGCCTTTAATGACAGTGAGACCCTGACTTTGCAGATCAAAAGAAAGATATACCTGTCTCAACTGCTTCTGTCTGCCACAAGGGATAGAAAACATCTCGGGCTTATTTCATATGTTATAATTCACACGTTTTATCCCAGAAAAGATAATGGAGCTTCTTTAGCCAATAGTAATACATATTTTATAATAGGCAGACAGAACAGGCTGGGATTGCCTCTTGCCGTCATCACAAATGCATGGAGGACCTTCAGGGCAAGCAAAGGGCTTGAATATATGAATGAACAGATATGAAAAATAAAAGAAGGCAATCCCGCCAGCCAACGAGGTGCTTTGCAGAGGTTTGCGTGACCTGGTGGGAGTGCTGGGAGTAGAGGCAGGCTCCTGTGGCCTGGGTGCACTGTGGCCGTCCCCGCGCGCAGCTCCGAGGTGGCGGTGGCTGCCCCGGCAGCTCGTTCCCAGCGAGGGTCCGTGTCACCGGTTGGCAAGAGGCATGCGGTGGTTGCACTGTGATGGCACGGAGGCGCAGGCGGCACTGCCCATGCTCCCGCCTGCGCTTGGCTTGCTCTTGCCCCTGTCCTGCCCCAGCAAGGCCCACGGCTCCTCAGCATCCCCGCGCGGTGACTGCTGTTTGTGCTCAGCGGGGCTGTCCGCGATAGGGCGGCCTTCCTGCTGCCCCAACACAGCACGCGGCGAGCAGAGGTGCCGCAGGAGGAGGCATGAGGCTCCCTGCTGCGGCCCGTGGCAACAGCCAGGCCTCCACGCGCCACAGCGGCCTTGCCCAGCCTGCAGCTCCCTCCATCGCAGGCACCATGGGCTCCACCGCCCGACCCTTCCAAATCTCTTCAATGCCGCAGGCCTYTCAAGAACTAGCATCTAAGACCCAAGCAGTGAAGGGGTGCTGCCTACACCACTAATTTTTATTTAATTAACCCAAGTAAACAGTTGGTGATTTAACTCCATGGAGTTGGTTTTTCAGATGAACCTTTAATTAATTTCAGATGTGGGAAGACCTCAGAGTGTGTGTGTGCGTGTGCGTGTGTGTTCTCTCTCTCTTTCTCTCTTTCTCTCTTTCTCTCTTTTTCTCTTTCTCTCTTTCTCTCTTTCTCTCTTTCTCTCTTTCTCTCTCTTTTCCCCCCTCTCTCTTTCCTTCTCTTTTTCTCTTTGTCTCTCTCTCTTTCTCTTTCTCTCCTTCTTTCTTTAAGTCAAAGCATTGCCCTTGTGATGGGGCTGGTGTATAGATGAGCAGAGGGGATGAGCTGAATGATTTAAAGGGCTGGTGTGTTGCTGCATCAATATTTAAGGTTGTCTCCAATCAAGAGCACTAKGAGTGTGAAGCGAATATTAGAAACCCTTCTGTGAAAGAGGCAGGACAGGAGGCTCTACAGCCCCCCGCACCTGCCATGAGATGAGTGAAACCCCCTTCCCTCCCTGCTCTCCCTCTGTGTCCTTAATTGCAGAGGGAGCATAATAAAACCCTYTATTCATTGTAACTCCACTGCACGTTATCAGAAGACATCATGAGACAGGCTCTTGGTGCTGCCTATCCCTCAATAGGCTCAATAGGCTCAATAGGGTTACTCAATAGGCCCCTCGGTCCTTCTGGGCCTCGCGCTTCTCGTTTCCAACGCTCCTTCCTTACAGTCTGTGGCTTATACTGCAAACTCTTGTACCACATACAAGAGGARGATGTTTGGAAGAGGTGGCCTGGAAGGGCATGTCAGCGTGCTGCTGATACCAGCCTGCCTTTGGTCAGAAAGCCCTGAAGGACCGAGCCCTAACCCAGCCCGGGCACCGTGCAGCGCTGGGCACGCTGGAAATCCTGCAGATCTCAGGTGCACTGCAATAAGGACCACAGGTTTGGGATGTGGAGTGCTTGTTGTTTACTGCCTTTTTTAAAGGCCTAACCTCATTCCTGCATACGGAGTAAAACTTCTGTTTCCAGTAGGCAAGTCTTCACATTAAAAATAGTAACATTTTGCACCTGCTTAGCTCTTTTAATGTTGGCTTTGAGGCACTTTACCCGTATCGGTTGTAGAACTGCAGTTACAGCATTGGCAGAGGGGGGCAGTGTTTTGTTTAGCTATTTTATAGACGTTTATGCAATATATATTTCTCCTATTTGGGACTCCGTTTTCCTAGCATGCATAGGGCAACATTGCTATGCACATTAAAAAGGTGATTGTTGCCTTTGTAAGAAATTCAGCTATGATACACATTATTTCCCTTACTTGTCCTTAATTGGTCCCTTTCAATTTCTGAGTTTTAGTACCATGTTTAGTTTGACATTCTGACATTTAGTATCATGTTTCTTCTCTGGTTCCAGTACTATAAATATCCTTACTGGTCAATTACACTTTCTTTTCTGAAATTGCATCCTGGTCCTGTGAGCTCGCCTTGGATCTTCCTGACTCACTTTCTGTGCTGCATTTGCCTACAAGGAGTTGCTGAAGCTGCAGCTCGTTGTGTCCTGTCTGTTTGTGATCTAGGAATTTTGCACGTGAAAAGTATGTGTCTATACAGACACACATACATATACACACACCAAGAATAAGATGGAGTAAAAACCTACCTGCTGAACTCTGAGCCTTTAGAGTAATTATGCATTTTTTGGTATCATTTATTCAGAAAAATGGAAGATACGATGAAAGTAAGGGTAAGCTACGTTTTAGTACTCTTAAACGATATGTCAGTAATAAGAAAAGGGAAATCTTGTACCAATCAGAAAAAAATGCCAAAAACCAAATTTACTGCTTTTATGAAACATGCRTCAGTATAAAAGTAGTTTTAGGACTG